CCCCCCCCCACAAGTCCCCTGCCCCAGAACCCTGTCCGCTGCCCCCACCAGCACAGTTGGGGCCACATTAGTGAGGCTTGGGGAGTTTTGGAGGGGTTTTTTTTTGCCCCTCACTTGTGTGGCCCCGACTGACTTTTCTGTGCACCCTGACTCAAAACAGGTTCCCCACCCCTCTCAAATAAAGCCTGCCCAACAAGCCCCTAAGTGGGGCCAAGCCCCCCCATCTGGCCACAGCATCATAACACTCCTGCCCCCCCAGTCCCAAACTTGAGCCTATCATACACTGGAACCCCCTATTCTGAGCGCCTCTCATCCCCAAACTCCTGCACCCCCACACCCCCAGTCTTCTGCCACAACACTCCTGCACCATCCACACACTGCAAATCTGTTTCCTGAGCCCATCATACTCCCAGCCTCCCTGCCTAAACCCCTGCACCCTCACAGCCACAAACCTGTGGCTTGCTCAGCACCCCACTCTCCAGCCTAGAGCCCTCTTCTTGAGCCAGCATTCTCTTCTCTACTTCCTTCTGCACCCAAGTTCCCTCCCAGAGTTTGCTCCTCTCACCCCTTCCCAGTGCTTTTTTTTCCTGATCCACAATAGCAGTGAAGACAGTTTGAAGAGCCGGGGCAAAGTTGTTGAGCCACGCCCCCCCATAAAAGGCAGGGTTGTGAAGACCTGGGGAAAAGTTGCACACTCATCCACATACGCACGAGCAAGCAGTTGTGGGACAGTGTACCAGCACCTATTTTCCCCCAGTACAGCGTGGGTTTTTTTGTTTTGTTCTGCTCAACAACTTTGCTGTGGCTCTTCACGCTGTCTCCACGGCTATTGTGGCTCTTCGTCTGGAACAGATTGGCTACCCCTGTTCTACAGCATTAACCCGTAAGCTATTGGTTTATTGGTTAATCGACTACACTATTAGAACCCCGAACCTGGAGTTGGGCTTTTTCATTCATTTTCCAAGTAAAAATTTAGCAGAGAGGAAAGGTACTTAGTATTATGAACGGCAAACAGAAGTCAAACAACAATGCAATCTCATGTGAAAATATTTTAGAAAGTGGCAGGCACAAGTCAGTTTTATTCCTTCCTCTTATGCCTAGTCTTAAGCCTGCACACATTTTAAGCTTCCAATAGAGTGCTCTCTCAAGATATTTCTTGGGCCACATAGGCCATTTCTGTTCAATATTAACAGTGAGAAAAGAAAAAAGTTC